AATTCCGAAACACTTGAAGCAATCTCTGAATATATTGCAGAAAACCAAACCATCAATGGACACTGATCCACCTTCCGCTCTTTCTCTCTCCTCTGCTCCATCTGCGCAACTCCTTTCTTCACAGCACACCGTTTCCTTCGCTGCTTGAACATTTTCCACTGCCTCCGCATGTGGACTTTTCTAACCTTCTAGTTGGTAGGAACCCTTACCTGCGGATTTCAAGTATCTTTATAAATGCCAATTATGGCCTTTTTTAAACAGTGGAATATACGCGGCCTCAGGGGTAATCGGGTGAGCTTCAGATGTTACTCTCCCAGTTTGCCCCTGTTGGTGTTTGCTTACAGGAGGCCAAATTAACACTCGGGCTGTTATTTTCAACATCTCGGCTATATTTTATTGTATTCTTCAGATCCTTTTCCTGATGGGACCTTTAATGAAAGTCCCTTCTTCTCCCACTGATTTTCCGTACCATCAGCTATTTATTCATACTTCGCTGCATTACACAGCAGCCCGTATCCACTTACATAGGTGGTATACGCTCTGTTTTTAATATCTCTCCCCCTTTCTCGGGCATTATCTATTCCGGATTTTGCCTTCCTTTTTTCGTCATTACCGCCACCGATTCTGTTACTTGGTGATTTTAATGCCCACCATTTCCTTTTGGGGGGGGTCTCACTGTGATTCCCGGGGAAATTTCAGTTAGAGGCTTTTCTTGCCACCCACCCCCCTCCATGTTTTAAATACAGGTACTCACACCCATTTTGATCCTCGGACTCATACTCTCTCTTGCATCGATCTCTCATTTGCTCTTCCTCCGCCGCATTAGACTTTACTTGGTCTGTTCTCCCGGGACTTACATGACAGTGATCATTTCCCAATCATTCTTATTTCCCCTTCATATTCGCCACCTCTTCGCACCCCACGCTGGCAATTTAATCGGGCAAATTGGAACCTTTACTCACACCTGACTGTTTTAAAGGGGTTCCTTCTTCGTCCTCTATCGATGAGCTTTTACACCTCTTCTCGTCCTCCGTTTTCACCGCAGCTTCTCATTCTATACCCCAAACTTCGGGCAGGCATTCTCAGAAATGCGTGCCTTGGTGGTCTCCTGCTTGTGCTCGTGCAGTACGTTTGAAACGCGCTGCAGGGGCAGGTACCGGTACATAGAACCACAGAGCGACTCCTTGATTTTAAACAGAAGCGGGCGATTGCCGCCGTGTCATCCGTGACGCAAAACGCACTTGCTGGCGAGATTATGTCTCCAACCATCACCTCTGCTTCCTCAAATGAGTGCAGTCTGGAAAAAAGTACGAAAACGAGTGGTAAATATTCTCCTGACCCGGCTCCTGTTCTGCGGGTTCCCGGTGTTGATATAGCAAACCCACTAGATGTTGCCAATGAAATTGGCAATCATCGGGTCCGTATTTCCCCAGGGACTCCATCTATGCCCCTCATTTTTTTTCCTCAAAGTCTGCCAAGAGTTAGCACCCTTGGACTTTTCTTCTCTCAGAGAAGAACAGTATAATGTGCCTTTTACACTTCAAGAACTGGAGGCAACACTCTCAGCTTGTCGATCATCGCAGCTGGGCCCGACGCCCATTAAATATTCGTATGCTACAACATTTACATCAGTCAGCCCTTGCAGTCCTATTACCCTTTACAATCTTATTTGGTCACAAGGAGTTCTTCCACAGCTGTGGAAATCCGCCATTGTTCTCCCTTTCCGCAAACCAGCACTACGGGACATGAAACCTCCCACTATCGTCCCTTTTGCCTTACCAGTGCAGTTTGCAAAGTAATGAACGTCTAGTAAATAGACGTTTAGTGTGGTATTTAGAGACACACAAAAAGTCTTCCCACTCGTCATATATGGCTTTCGTAAGGACGTTTTTACCATAGACCCCTTACTGCGCTTGGATACGTATGTTCGTAATGCCTTTGCGAATAACCAACTCAGTTATTGCCATATTTTTGACCTTGAGAAGGCATATGACAAAACTTGGAGGTATAATATTTTAGCCCCAACCCACTCCTTAGGCCTTCGAGGCAATCAAACATCCTTCCTTAAGAACTTTTTAACTGACAGGCTTTTCCGTGTTCGGGTTAATAATGTGCTCCCCCCGGGACTTTATCCAAGCTGAAGGTGTCCCCCAGGATGTGTTCTGAGCCCCAACACTTTTTCTCCTTGCTATTAATGATTTGGCCTCAGCCTTCCATCAAATATTTGGTCATCACTCTATGTTGATGACTTCGCTATTGCCTGTCAGGCGCTGACTGTCACCTCCTTACCAGTTTCTCTCCAGCATGCAGTCGCCCGTGTTTCCAATTGGGCCACCACACATGGGTTTAATTTTCCAGCACTAAAACCCACCAATCACTTCACTAGACGCTCTGTCATCTCTGATCATCCTTTGTACCTCTATGGCTCACGTATCCCTGAACGTGATACAGTCAAGTTTCCCGGGCCTCCTCTTTGATCGTAGGTTATCCTGGAAACCTCACATTACCTCCCCTTTAAGGCAACTTGTCACAGCCGGCTGAACCTTCTTAAAACCCTTGCTCATCTTTCGTGGGAGCTGATCGTCGAACTCTCCTTCCACCTACATTCCACCCTTATTTTATCGAAACTTGATTATGGTGAAACCCGATCTATTCAGCGGGATCTCCTGCTACTCTCTCTAGCCTTAAAACCCCATTCATCAAACCCAAAGGGTTACGTTTATGCCTTGGTGCTTTTCGCTCTTTCCCCCGTCGAAAGCCCCCTATGCAGAAGCGAACGTTCCATCCTTATCCGATCGCCCGTGATGCCCATTGCCTGCGCTACTATGTACGCTCTCATGATCTCCGCAATCCTTCCATTTATAGAAAAGGCACTGATATTAGTAGACATTCTTTATTTGTTCGCCGCCCCCGCTTACTCCGTCCCTTCTCTCTTCGCCTTCATTCGCTCTTGTCTTCTCTTCAACTACCACCTTTCTATGTACAAAGTAGCATCTCACTTTTCCCCCACCCCCCTGGGAAGTTCCAGCTGTTTCGAGTCTGTTCTTTCTCCCTCCCTTGCTCGAAAGCCCAACTGTCTACGGTCGCTTTCCCGCCTCTTTTTTTTGACCACTTTCACTCTCATTCTCATGCCATTGCTGTGTACACAGATGGCTCTAAGTCTTCTGACGGCGTAGGATTCGCAGCAGTGTTTCCGGACAGCGTCGTACAAGGGCATTTACTATCTTCAGCTAGTTTTTTACTGCTGAATTTATGCCATCCTTACAGCACTTATCCGTATTGCATCTAAAGCCTGTTTCATCATTTTTGGTTGTCTCAGACTCCCTTAAATGCTTTACAGGCTATACAAAAATTTGATACACCTCACCCCTTAGTCCTCCGTATCCAACTTTGGCTACGCCGCATCTTTTCTAAGCATAAAGATATTGTTTTTTGTTGGGTCCCTGGTCATGTTGACGTACAGGGCAATGAACAGGCAGACACTGCTGCGCGGTCAGCATTACATGACCTACCAGTTTCTTATAGAGGTATTCCCTGTACGGACTATTTTGCTGTAATATCTTCCCACCTTCACACCCGTTGGCAAAAACGTTGGTCTACTATGCTCGGGAACAAACTTCAGTCTATTAAACCGAGTATAGGTTACTGGCCGTCTTCTTATCAAACCCTGTCGAGGTTGGGGGACTACTCTCTCCCGTCTTCGCATTGGCCTACCGTCTTACTCATGGATATCTCATGGAGAGGCGTCTTGCTCCTCTCTGTGAGAATTGCCAAGCTCCATTATCAGTCAAACCACATTCTGTTGGACTGGCCCACTTTATCAACGAGCACGCAGAATTTACCTCTGTCGTCGTCTTTGCCCTGCTGCTCTCTCTTTACCTTCCCTTCTCGCTGATGGACCCACCTTTCATCCGGACTCTCCCCATTGACTTTTTGACAACGACTGACTTACTTCACAAATTCTGATACTTTCAGCCCTTTCTACTTGTATCTCTTGCTACCCTCTACCCCCGTACTATCCCCTGCCTCGCTGTTTTCCGTAACCTGCTGATCATCTCCCCTCCCTTCTGCCATCCAATTCACTTGCTTCCTTCCCTACCCTGCAGCGCTGTATAGCCCTTGTGGCTTAGCGCTTCTTTTTGATTATAATAATAATTTGCACTTCATAGGACGTACACCTTATTTGTTCTTGAGAAGAAAGCGCGATATAATCTCAGGAATTCACTTCAGCAGAAAAAATCCCTGCTCTAATATAAACTAATCCGGATAATTGAGTCAATCACACCCAGACTTTTAACTAACATATCTGTGTCTGAATCAGTGTAGCCAGATTAATATGCTGTTAAGAACGATGGACATTATATTGCTAATCTTATTTTTCACACTGGTATTCATTTCACTATATACACTAATGGTACTGTAAATAACTGGCCAACGAAAAGAGAGAGACAACTTGGAGACATAAATGAGACGAGAAATAGAGATCGAATATTTCGATGTCTAACTTAGTTCACAAAACTGTTAAGCACAGCGTATCTTAGCTGTGTATCACTCGTAACAGCTACTGAAGAAACTCCAACATAGTGATTTTTGTACATGAATGGTATACAGTACCGACAATGAGAAGAATCAGACACATGTGCAACATCTGAGTATCATTATTTGTAGACGTTTCGCCATCCAGTGGCTTTGTCCTTGAATTTGTATTGATAAAGCCACTGAACGGCGAAACGTTTACAAATAAATATACCCAGATGTTGCACATGTGTCTAATTCTTCATCATAGTGATATTACATTCTCAGTAACTGCTGTGCAGAATATCATCATTCCTCTGAGTTTAGAAGCAGACCTCTGTCAGTTTATTATCTCTGTGTTGACCATCATTAGGTAGACAGGTGACACCACCTTGTGGATATCAAAAAACGAAATATAACAACATATTTATTCGTAAAATATATTAACAAATTCAAGATTAATTTCTCAACTTTGAGATAACTGATAAGAGAGTTAGTAAAGATGATGGTGAAGTCCTCACTTGCCCTTAGCTACCAGAGGCGGTCCAGTGTCCAAGGTTGGGATGAAGACAAGGTAATTTTTTTATCCACGATGATGGAAGGAACCGTGAGGATTGTACGAAGGACGGAAAATTGGCCTGTGTATCCTGCAAATATAGTAATGCACACTTTGTAAGAAAATAAGACCTCAATAATATGTATTATATATGGCACAAGTTTTAGTGACTATAAAGTTTGATAAAAGTCGTTGTCTTATACTTGTTTTAGTACTTACACGTGACCATGGGATCCATGCCCGTGTTCGAATCCACCATTTCCGTATCTACCGCTATGTCCGAAACCACGACTGGGCAGTGCCACGGCTACGTACACGGCAGCTAGGAGTGTAAACATCATCAACTGAGGAAGAAATAGAGAATGATCTTCGCGACATCTGTCCTCTCATGCCTCGTTTATTATGTCACCAACATCTGCATTGTTGTTGAATGTATTTCCATCTTTACACATAAAATTGTTTTGGACGCCGCTGTACACAACTTACCAGAGGAGAAATAATACTTTCATATGTAAATCAAGGCGAATTATAAATGTTCTGTATTGCAAGATGACTTGTAATTCCTGCATGAATGATGCTGAGAGTGACCACATTGCAGCGATGATCATCTCCTAAAATTATTAGCTGAATGGCTTGAAAACGTAATATGAATACATTTATATCATTCTTTAAAAGTCTGACAAATGTAATGAAGCTCAAACTAAGAACCAATGAAACCAATGTAATTATACTCACAAGAGAGCGTAGAGGAAACATTATACTGGAACTTCAAGGAAACTCAGAAGTCCTCAACGTTGACTGACACCAGCTGCTCACTCGGTCAGGTTATATGTCGCGGGTGAACATTCACCCCAAATACCAACGAGTCGCCCCTTGTCAATTTTATTTTCGTTTTCTGTTATTTAATATCAAGCCCTAGAGTTAATTTTGTACTCCGATACAGTATATTGACCAGCTGTACACAAGATCCAACTATTAAATCCTAATTTTTACTTTTCCCATGTTTACTTTAACAAATAATGAAAGACACTGACATGAATTTAAGGTGAAAGCGAAATAAATGAGAGAAACGGACAACAATTTTCCGAGATGGTGAGAGTATTTTCAGGACCACTGGTGTTATTACTTATCCGGGAATACCCAGAAACAACGCAAATACGTTTTGAACATTATGTCACTTTAATTTTTCTAAGAAGCGTTTTAGGTTTGTTAAAAACCAATATGAAGAATTAACCCAACGGTGTAATTACTCTAGCATGCTAAAACAGTATAGCTCAGTATCTAGCCTGGGTGTGCAGTGAAGTCTCATTTCAGAATACAGTATATACAACGAGACTTGTATTTCTCTCAGGGTATACACGAATACTTTAATATCTGCTTCAGATATTAAAGCATCCGTGTCTAGGGGTGAAAAGTTTACATGCAGCCTTAATGACATGACTGTAGCAAATGAGCTTTAAACCCCATTAACAACCCAACCAGAAGAACATTAATGAGATCAACAAATCAGTTTACTAAGATAACACTAGATGAATTACAGTATTTATCTAGGCGAACCCTTTACTGAGTCAGTAATAAATATATAAGATTTAATTATTTAGTATGAGTAATGTATGCTGGAAAATGGGTTACAAAATATTTATATGTACTGTATGTCGGCTCTGGTATTGTACACTGGTACTAGTAATGTACACTGGTTCTTGTAATGAACACTGGTCCTGGTAATGTATACTGGTCCTGGTAATGTATACTGGTCCTGGTAATGTACACTGGCCCTAGTAATGTACACTGGTCCTGGTAGTGTACACTAGCCCTAGTAATGTACACTGGTACTGGTAGTGTACACTAGCCCTAGTAATGTACACTGGTACTGGTAGTGTACACTAGCCCTAGTAATGTACACTGGTCCTGGTAGTGTACACTAGCCCTAGTAATGTACACTGGTTACTGGTAGTGTAAAACTAGCCCCAGTAAAGTACACTGGAAATGGTAGTGTACACTAGCCCTAGTAATGTACACTGGTACTGGTAGTGTACACTAGCCCTAGTAATGTACACTGGTCCTGGTAGTGTACACTAGCCCTAGTAATGTACACTGGTACTGGTAGTGTACACTAGCCCTAGTAATGTACACTGGTACTGGTAGTGTACACTAGCCCTAGTAATGTACACTGGTACTGGTAGTGTACACTAGCCCTAGTAATGTACACTGGTACTGGTAGTGTACACTAGCCCTAGTAATGTACACTTGTTCTATTAATGTACACTAGTCCTAGTAATGTACATTAGACCTAGTAATGTAACTAGTCCTGGTATTGTACATTAGTCTTAGTAATGTACACTGGCCCTTGTAATGTACACCGAGTCGTACAATGTGACACCATCATGTCTCCTCACATATTGTGTTCAGTATAGTATAAAATATACATGTACTCTTCTCTACTTTCACCGAAAATCATCATTATTATTATTATTATTATTATTATTATTATTATTATTATTAAATTCCTATTGTGTTTGGTTAATGTCAACAAATATAAACAAACATCGACGTCTTCACTCTGGGTGACTTCAACGCGCTCTTAGGTTAGATACTGATCCAACCTTGCATAATTCAGATTAATTACATGCTGCCTTTAATCATTCACAGTAATCCGCTATATTTACCTTCACAAAAAAAGCAAAGGCGCATCCTGTGATCACATTTGTTTGGGCCTTCTCCTCTTTCTGCAAACATTACAAGTTCCTGTTTTGGTGATTCCAACACGAAAGGCCTAGAGCTATCATTCAACTCCCCCCGTGGTTGTTTTGCATCTTGTATCGCTTGTTCATGATTTTTTGCATTATATATATATATATATATATATATATATATATATATATATTATATATATATATATATATATATATATATTACATACATACATACATGCAATAAGATCACAGTAAACAGGTGATATTAGAATATGCAAAATAACCACTGTGAAAGAATACAGAAATTCCAAGCGCTTTCGTGACTACTCACATTATCAAGGAACAATACACACACACACACACACACACACACACACACACACACACACACACACACACACACACACACACAGTGGGCACAGTGGGCGCCTGTGACGAGCGGGGTCCCACAGGGGTCAGTTCTAGGACCAGTGCTATTTTTGATATATGCGAACTACATGATGGAAGGAATAGACTCTGAAGTGTCCCTATTCACAGATGATGTGAGGCTGATGAGAAGAATTAAATCGGATGAGGATGAGGCAGGACTGCAAAGAGACCTGGACAGGCTGGACATGTGGTCCAGAAACTGGCTTCTCGAATTCAACCCTGCCAAATGCAAAGTAATGAAGATTGGGGAGGGGCAAAGAAGACCGCAGACAGAGTATAGGCTAGGTGGACAAAGACTACAGACCTCACTCAGGGAGAAAGACCTTGGCGTGACCATAACACCGAGCACGTCACCGGAGGCACACATCAACCAAATAACCGCTGCAGCATACGGGCGCCTGGCAAACCTGAGAATAGCGTTCCGATACCTTAATAAGGAATCGTTCAAGACACTGTACACTGTGTATGTTAGGCCCATACTAGAGTATGCAGCACCAGTCTGGAACCCACTCCTGGTCAAGCACGTCAAGAAGTTAGAGAAAGTACAAAGGCTTGCAACAAGGCTAGTCCCAGAGTTCAGGGGAATGTCGTACGAGGAAAGGTTGAGGGAAATCGGACTGACGACACTGGAGGACAGAAAGGTCAGGGGAGACATGATAACGACATACAAGATACTGAGGGGAATAGACAAGTGGACAGAGATAGGATGTTCCAGAGAGGGGACACAGAAACAAGGGGTCACAACTGGAAGCTGAAGACTCAGACGAGTCACAGGGACGTTAGGAAGTATTTCTTTAGTCATAGAGTCGTTAGCAAGTGGAATAGCCTAGCAAGTGAAGTAGTGGAGGCAGGAGCCATACATAGTTTTAAGAAGAGGTATGACAAAGCTCAGGAAGCAGAGAGGGAGAGGACCTAGTAGCGATCAGTGAAGAGGCGGGGCCAGGAGCTGAGTATCGACCCCTGCAACCACAATTAAGTGAGTACACACACACACACACACACATACACGAGTTTTATTTCTATGAATTTCCTGTATGATAAAGGATCAGTTTGACTTACCAAGATTCTCTCATCATCTGGGAAAACTGTATCAGCGCTGAATGACTCATACTATATTCAAGTTTTTCTATGAATTCTATATTTATAAAAGGAAAATTTTGTCTCGCTCGTACAGTTAACTTTCATCTTAAGTTCTTGTCAATGTTTTTCATTAACTATTAGAATAACTGTACAATAAGTAAAATCTAAAGCTATGATTGTTGGAGTGTAGGTAAAAATTTGCCAACATTCCACAATAATGTGCAAAATTTGTCCTATTTATTGATTACGGGCAGAGAAAACCAGAAGAAAACGGAAAGGGGTAACTCTCAGATATCTGTGATGAATGTTCGGTGGCTACAAATAAGCTGTCCGAGTAAGTATGTTTATTCAGGTATACACAAATACAGTTACATAGATTACCATACATAACTGTATATGTGTAGAGAACCTAAGATAATCCAAAAAAGTCAGACAAAGTGACTTATTTCCATTGGGGTCCTCTACGTTCAACTGATGTTACTCTCCATATTAAGGCAGCACACTTGTGCTCCCTTCAAAGGTCAGCATAATGTCTCCTCTGTCATGTTAGTAAACTAATATACATCATTTCTGTTTAGTTTGAGTTTCACCAAATTTATTCTATTTTTAAAACATTGCTGACAAACGTATTCATGTGTTTTTTTTTTCTTTTAGCATATAAATTTTTTTATACTTTTAGGACAGAATCGCCGCTAAAATGCATTCTAAGTGATATTTATTTATGTACTAGTCTACTTGTAATGTAATGGATCGACACCATGCCCAGTCCTTCTAGGGCAGGGTAGGTGCCTGAGCCAAAGCTTGTAGCTCACAAGACTGCCATTCCCGTTAGCCCCCTGAGGGTGTGGATGGCAGACGAGCGAGGCCTAACTTCTCCCTATGGGCCCCGTGAGGGCGGGGAATGTGGCTAGGCCTGGAGGCAGTTGGTCCCAAAGATGAGGGGGTACTTGTACCTCCTCCCATGGTAGATTTAGTCTCAGACACTCCCTAGACAGGGAGCCAAGGCCGGGCCACCACTTGGAAAAGGCCATTGCCGGGAGAATACCGGCAAATCTTTAATAACAATAATACTTGTAATGCAAAATATTTGTTTAACTTTTCCAAGAATAACAAATTATAATTGAAAAAAACGCCGCTGTTCGATGACATGAAAGGTCCCATGTGTTTACCAAAACCCTTGTACGTTGCCGTGGCACTATCCAGCCATAAACATGGACATGGTGGCAGATACGAACATGTTGGCGGATACGGACATGGGTATGAATCCCATGAGCATGTGTAAATATTATAAGAACTATGAGATAATGTTTCTTAAATCTATAGTCACTACATCTTGTGCCATATATGAAAGAAGTTATTGTGAAGTCTTATTTTCTTACAAAGTGTACGTTACTATATTTTCACGGCACACAGGTCAATTTTCCGTCCTTCGTACAATCTTCACGGCTCTTACCATCAGCCTGGACAGGACATAACACTGTCTTCACCCCAACCTTAGATGCTTGAGATCTTCGGGTAGCTAAGGGCGAAAGAGACCTTGATCATCACCATAACTCACCTAGTTATTATTATTTTTATGTAAATTTTTGTTTTTTCCAATGAGCTAAGTATTTGTGGGGTTTTAATGAATGTTCCTCTCGTATTATTTGGGGGTCAGGACGTTTTCAATATT